TTCCTCAAAAGAACCCACTCAAAATCCAAGAATCTCCACTTTGTATCTCTCGATTTCTTTGGACTTCTCTTACTTTAAGACTTCTGGGAGTTCCCCAGCCTAGTGGGGAGGCTGCAGCGTCCTTGTGCCGAGCGTGTTTCACACCACTGCATCCACTCCACAGCTGCATCATGCTTGGGCAGCCCCCCCCGTGCATCGCTCATCAGCAAAGCCAAGGGGAGAAATGCGAGGGAAAGGAGAGATGTTAGATCAAGGGGAGTCATTTCAAGACACCATCCCTTAAAACAGGGAAATGCTGCAATGGAATTTGGGGAGGGTATTTTTTGTAAGAGTTGACATACAAACAGTTTTACGATTATTATATTGCTACAATATTAAAGGAGAATTTGTAAACTTTAACCTCGGTTGTGCTGATATAATATCTCTAATTTGCACAGAACAGAGAGGACAGAAAAGGGAGCCCCGGTGAAGCTACACAGAGAACCATGAACTGAGTCTGGAGCAAAATTTCTGATTAAAACGTTCTAAATAGCCCAAATCAGACACAAATGATTTAGATTGTTAGGATATTTAGGTTCCTAAGTAATTTAGATTCTTCTGAACATTTCCCTTTTTATTTTAATGTACCACTGATTTATTTTGCAAGAAGCTGCAGCATCTTTCCATTTCAGAAACCCAAAGAGCAATCCCAAACAGCAGATTTCAGAACAATAAGCTAAGCTCTTCCCTTTACCATTAACTGCTGTGGGTCACTGCATGAAGAGCACTCTCCTCATCTGAACTCAGGTTTCTGCTGCCGGACTGTTGGTCAGTTACTGTTTTCCAGGCCATACAAGAGATCCTCCTCTTCCAATAATGGAAATACATTTTGAATGTCATTGTCTGCTCAATCATTTAGAGCTAACATTTAAAAAGGAGAATTGGCATTACATGAACATCTTAAAAGCAATACTATGTCTACACTGAGAAAAACAATTCAGTAGTTCCATGTAAACTGCCAACTTATGTCATAAAAGGGCATGTGAATGTAGACAACACTAACTGTGCACTATTTTTCAGTATTTGTACTTAAAAGACTTCACAAAATTAGGTCCTCATTACATCAGTTGCTATAGAAAGACATAATTCTGTCACCTTTTTCCACTCACAAATAATTGTGAATAATATTATCGTAGTACAGAGAAATAAATATCTGTATCTAGGACCCAGAATGTTGAACATCTGCTAAAACGAAGGCTACCAGCCTAAGCAGAACTTCTGGAGCAAAATGGAGCCCATATCAGAGACATGGCCTCAAATGCTCACAGCTGCAAATGAGGCAATTGTAGTAGACTGAACAATTCTGATTTTGCCTAAGGAGCTATGACAGAAAGACGTGGGACTCAATGCAGCTTCTTTACTGGAACAGCTTCTGCCCCTACTGCCACTGCCTTGGAATGAACTCTGGTGCTTTGCTTTGTTTCTGATGGCCCAAGGTCTAAACTTACTGCTGCTAGAGCAGTAGTAATGAAAAGAAAAACTTAGCTTGACCAAGCAAGAGAGGAAGTTTATTAATGGCTGCTGCTTTCCTGAACAAAGGCGTGTTTCACCATGAGAAGCAAGATGACCAAGAAGGCTTTCTAAGATTTAAAACTAGAGGGAAAGGTCAGTAAATATGAATGCAACTTGACCATACTGAGGAGTGTGCTGTGCTCCAGAATGTGAGCTCGCTGCCTTGCAAGAATAAAACAACTGTGCAGAAGAAACTCTTTTTCAAAGCCTCTATGGCCGGTTTATCGCCACTGAGCAGCAGAAGGTAAAACTGTGCAACCCCTGATCTCCCAGGAGGAAAGGTTTTGGACAAAAAAAATACCTGAGGACTTACTGTACTAGGGACTGAGAAGACTGTGGCTTAGGTGTCAGTGTCTGGCTACGTGAGTATGGGATCCCGCTGCCTCCAGCCGGGTGCCAGATGCGGGAGCTGCACCTGGAAGCGGGACGCTGGGAGGCAGGAGCACTGGCCAACAGAGGGAGCCAGGAACTGCGCAGGATCAGCACCTTGTTGCGTCCCGAGGGACCGCTGCTCTCCGAGCACAAGGCCAGAGCCTGACACCAAGCATTTTTGTCCACTGCTGCTCATGTGAGAGCTTTGCTGGTGCAGAGGAACACCTCGCTGCTTACAGTTTGAACGTATCACAGTTCCAGAAACAATATTGGCCTTTGGGGAATGGATTAAGCATAAATGCCTAGCAGTGAAACAATTATTTTAACCCATTACAACAATTACAGATGCAAAAAAATACAAGATCCATCATCCCTTCTATAGCAGACAGTGTAAAAGCTCCTCTTGGCTTGCTGCTGCTAACTCAGACCTGCAGCCTACTGATTTATTTTTTGCTTTAGAATGAGGCTGCCTGTAGCTGTTGTTATGCCAAATATCCTTTCGCACAATCCGTAATGCACTTCCCATGTTTTCACTCTAATGACTGTGACAGCCTGCTGTGCCGCTGGCGAAACTTTCAAATTCTGTTTCATGTGACAGCTCCGAAGGGGCCGCGTTGCTGCACTCACACGCGCTGCAGAGTGTCACGCAAAGGGCCGGTCCGGCTGGAGACACTGCGTAAGTACCTGCCATGTTAAACACGTATGGGACACACGGCAAGGAGGAGGAGGGAGCCCAGAGTGGAAACGTTCAGCAATGCACAAAAGAGTTGCCACCTCTGTGAGGCCGCTATGGGATCAGAACCAGGGAAACACTTCCCAAAGGCGGTGACAGTGCTTAGCGAGCATCAGAAGTCCTCAGCACCCTGCAGGATTCATAACTTATTTTTGGCTCAGACCTGACTTTATATACCCGCGAGGAGGCTGGCAGTAAAGCTCTGCCCCACGGCCTCACAACTCTGAGCGGGGACCTGGGGGCCCACGAGCAGCGCGCGAGGGCGGCTAGAGCCCACGGAGCCCTGAGGGAGCGCGCGGGAGGCCTGGCCACGGCCCGGGACAGCGCATCCACACCCTGCTTGCAGGGGAGATTAAAGCCTGTCACCTCCCGGCCCTGCACATGGACACACAGAAAGGAGCAGCTCGTTTATTCACGGTATTGTGGCCTGCCTTGGAGCCAGGCCCCCTGCCTGACTCTTTGCAGTCTGCAGACTCCATGGGGTGTTGGGGCAGAGGAGAACATTAAGATAAGCACTGGATGTGCGTGTAGAAAGATGACAACAGGACTGGAAACATTTCACAAAACCAACAGGCATACAACCAGTTTTTAAATTCTTGGCATTTCCCCCACATCGCGCCTGAGAAAGAAACAAATAATCAATACTTGGAATTGTATCAAAAGACTATAAAGAGAAAAAACACCCACTTCTAGCCTACAACATGAAAAATACTACAGGAATCTGCTGTTTTGTTGCCACTCTATTTATGTGTGAGGCCAAAAGAAGTGATTTTTTTTTGTCTATATGCTTTTGATACAGACAAGGGGGAAGGAAGTACATTGAGTGACTGAGCCTCTGTCAGGCAAGAGCAGAAAATATACGGGACCATATAAAACATAAGTGCCCTTTCCTGCTTCCCAAAGCCCCGCGGCAGCACGGAGCACTGCAGCGTGGCAGCAGCCAGGGTTTCCAGGGCAGATGCTGACATGCTCTGCTCCTCCAGGAAATGGTTATTTCTGTGTCGCTTGGGTCATCCCATGCAGATTAGCTCCTAGCACATATGCTACTATATTCATATCTAATAATTCTACCTGTCAAAAAAGACAAAAAAAATGCTTCTTTCGTGTATATATTTGCTTTTTTACACTGCACTTCCTCACTGTTTTTCCCTGGTAAAGAGAACTCTGCAGTCCTACAGCTAGAGGAATAATACTATCTACAAGACTGTGATTTCAGCATTAAGCAAGCTTTTGTGAAAGACACTTTTATCTGGAACATGGTGGACACTGAGCAACTTTGACATAATTCTCATTAAATGAATGTCACTGTCATATACAAAACATATTTTTTCCACCAGCTTAGAAAGATACCCTTTAGTGAATGCAGTTGAAAATGGGAGACTATACTAAAAGGGAAAAAGAGAAAAAAAAAAAAGAAAGAAAAAGAAAAAGCAGCTAATTAGTTATTTGTACCTCTTGCAGAGCTTAAAAAGTCTCTTTACAGTGTGGATTCTACAAACACCATTTTTTCACCTTATACCTTCTTCAAAATATACTTCAACTACTTGCATGTTTTGAATTACCATCTATTTCTTGAATTACTATCACTTGGAATTACTTAGCACATTCGTGCTAAGTTTCTAATTCAGCACCTCACAAACAGAAAAGCCTGCGCAAACACAAGAGCCCCCATCGCAGGGGGCACCTTCCTTCCTCGCACACAGTCTCCTGGCAAGGAATCTGGCCTGCTCTCCCAGGAGAGCCTCCGTCTTGGCAGTGAAGCTGTTAACTCCACTCATCTCTCAGTGACTCTATGAGTCTCTGTGGTCATAAGAGTTACTTCTAATTTATTTAATGGCACTTAATTAAGTGCTCATTAATGCTCATTCTTACAGAGTTTTATCTTTTCCAAGAATCACTACTGCTGGCTGCCA